ATCTTAGCTGTGGAGGGCAGTGTCACTGGCCCTCATATGTGGGATCCGAACCGGGGCTCTCTGGCATCCCAAGCCAGTTCTTAACCATCGCGCCACTCGGCCAGCCCCAGATGAATATTCTTAATTTCACTTTTAAATAGTTGTATATCAAATGTGTATTAGAAAAATACATCAAACCTATGATTTCAAGGATATTGCTTCGGATGAAGCAGAATAAGTTACTCAATTTTTAAAAAGCGGGTTGATTTAAAGAAATGATTAGGTTAAAATGGAAACGTAGTGGTAGTTGCATGAATCTATACAGGTGATAAAATTTCATAGAACTGTATACACACCAAAAAAATGAGTGCAGGTAAAAATGGATGAAGTCCAAGTGAAGCCTGTAGTCTAAGTAACATTGTCTTGTACCAACGTCAGTGTCCTGGTTTTCACAGTGTACTACAGTTACGTTAGGTGTCATCACTGGGGGGTGCTGGGGGAAGGGCACGCCAGAACTTCACACCATTTTTGTGACTTTCTGTGGGTTTGAAATTATTTTAAAATGAAAAGGGTAAAAAGTGGAAATGGTAAAAACCATGGAGGGCACACACCAATGGCTGCAGACCGGAAATACTGGATGAGAAGTTTTCTGGGGCTGCTCCTTCCAGCAAGTACTGTGAGATACACCTGCCTGGAGCTCCCCCAGCCTGCCCACCACCCATTTGCTTTCCGTAGATTGGCCACTCAGTTTTAGAAATCTCTCTCTCTTTTCCTCTATCAGTTAACACTTTCCAAAGGAAACATGTTTGCTGGAGAGATGATGCCTGTGGGGACCGGGCAGAGTCAGCGAGCAGACAAATGCTCCGGAAGCTGGGCTCCTGGTTCTCCCTGGCCCTCAGCACCTCCGAGTGGCTAGACGGCTCCTGAAAGCCTTTACCTCCAGGTGCAGAAGGGACACCTGCAAAACACCTGGGGCAGGACTCTGCCTAAGGTCACACAGGGAGTGGGGGCCAGTCAGATCAGGAACCCAGGAGGAGCGCTTAGGGGCTGCCCGGAGCTCCTGGCTCCAAGGAGGAAAGGCCTGGTGGGAAATGCTACTGTCCAGACCACAGGGCTGCTATCCCAGGAGGTCCCAGGAGGGGACCATCTCAGAGGATGGGGATGCCACCTTGAACTCGGACACTCCCTAGCGCAGTAACCAACACTACAGACACCCTCGGAATTGTCGGCGCCGCATGAGACCCCTGGAGAGCACCTCTTGCGACCCGACATTTCACAGATGGGGCAACTGAGAAAAGGAGGGAACTCGTTCCAGGCCACCCAGCAGGGTGGTGCGGAGCCAGGACCAAATCCTGGTCAGGGCAGCCTGCCCCTCAGAGCGAGGGGTTCCTCGGGGTCACGGCGGTAGAGGAGTCAGATTCCCCACGTTAGGCAACACACGGGGCCCCCGGCTGCAAAATCGCCGGCGCGCACCCTGGTAGCGCGACAGAGGCACCCCGGCCGCCGCCCAGCGTCGCGACAGAGCGGGGCTGCCCGGGTCACCTGCATCATCTCGAAGATGTGGTTCGCCTCCCCGTACTGGGGCATTTCCGGGGGGATGCGGTGCGGGGCTGTGGTCGCGTCCATGCTGCCACCGCGCCGCGCGGCCGTTCCCTGGTGACCGCGGTCGCTAGGGGCGCCGCGCCTTTTGCGTCATCAGCGCGCGCGCCCCTGGTGACTGCGGTCGCTAGGGGCGCCACTCCTTGGCGTCATCAGCGCGTGCCGCGCCCCGCAGCCGGCCCGGGCGGCTGGCTCTCGGCCTGGGCCTGGGCTCCTCGGCCGGCGCGCCGCCGGGGACAAGTGCCCTCCCGCCCCGGCCTCGCTGTCCCTCCTGCACCGCTCAGTGGGGCACCGCAGGTCGCTTCCACCTGAGGCCTTCTAGGCACAGACGTGCCCCCGGTAGGGTTTCCCCTCCCCGGTGCTGAGACACCGGACAACACCCCGAGGGCACGTCGGCCCCAGGGAGGCCGGGAGGCGGGTCCTGCTTCTGGTTCCGCCGACGCGCCCTGGCCCGGGCGTTGGGCGCTCCGTGGGCCAGCCTCGGCTCCGCGCTCGCGGCCTCAGTTTCCCCATCTTTAAAATGAAGACTGGAGGTAGGGGAATGTATTTGAAGAGGGAGGGGCCTCATCCGCAGCTTCTGAGCCCCTGGACACCCGGCCGTTCGCTCCCGGGGTGGGCGGGGCTGCCACGTGACCCACTTGCCCCGCGTGACCCGATTGCTATGGCACCTGCGGTAACAATCAGGCCCACAGCCCCGCCCCTGCCCACCCCGATTTCCCCACCCCAAGCCCTGGACAGGGCCTCCCCGCCCCTCCGGGGCCCCAGACACCCACGGAGGCACGCCAGCTTCAGGGAGCTCTGCGAGTGAAGGCCGTTCTAGGACAAGCAAGGTTAAAGCCCCGGGTTCTAAAACGGGGGGTGCTGGAGCAGAGCGCGCAAGGGACCGCCGCTGCTGTCCCGGAGGGGGAGGAGGAGGGGAGGGGGCTGGGACGTGGTGGGGGGCGCTCTAATCCCCAGTGGGACGGGAGCAGCTAGGTGTCGGACGCAGCTGAACTGGGAACTGTGGTTCTCGCTGCCGTTCTTAGTAGGAGCTACCGTTTTTGAGCTCTGTGCGTTCAACTGTGGTGTTGGTTTACATTCTGGAGCGGAAGTACGGCGTAGTCCGTACAGATTGCCCAGAGTTCGAATCCTGGCTGCACTGGCTAGCTGTGTGAGCCTGCTTGTGCCTCACTTGCCTCCCCTATGAAGTGGGGCTGTGGAAGGATGCCATGAGTTCATATACCTGAAGTATTAGACAGTAACTGGCATCTATTGTAGTAAGGGCACAATACATAGGGGCTGCTGTTATCATCTCATTTCATCTTTGCCCCAACTCTGAGAACTTGGTACCTTCATTCCCATTTTGCAGATGAGAATTTGGAGGATCGGAATGGTGAAAAATAGTTGGCTGAATGACTTTGGGCAAGTCATTTCCCCTTTCTACACCTCTTTCCTCATTAGTTATTGATCACAGAGCATTAGAATCCAAAAGCCCCTTGAAGAGCCTCTGATCCAAACGCCCTCATTTTATAGATGGATAAACTGAGGCCCAGAAAGGAGGAGATTCTTGGCCAAGGTCACTTGTTCATCAGAGGCAGAGCCAGGACTGGAACTAGGTGTCCTGACTCCCAGCCAAAGCCTTTTGCCCCAGCCACCAGCCCAGGGACATGCCCTCCAACAGTAAACGGCTGAGTTCTGCCTCCTCCTCAGAACTGCTCCCTCAAAGCAGCAAACCTTGGTAGGCTTGTCAAACCCAACTGCAAAGACAGCTGGGGAAGAAAAGGAAGCTGCCTCCCCCTGAACAAAGAACACAACAACCAAGCCTGCAATTTGCACTGGAGAGGCTCGGTTTGCTTCCTGGACATTTCTGAAATGACTTGCCTTTCTCCTCATTTATTTTAAGCCCTAGGCACTTTTCATACCGCAATTGAATGTTCTTTAGCAGCCTGGAAAAATACAAATCAATTCAAGCCTAAAACCTATTGGGTAATCATTTTTTCCTTCCTCCTCCCCCAGACCGGGGAGTGCTGCGCCCTGTGCCTTTCATCCCAACTAATTTGGCTGCAGTGACTCTGGTTCAAGGGACGATCACTTTGGATAGCTTATTACAGCTCTTCTCACGACATTCCTGGCGTGCATGTCACCAGGATCAAGAGCCGAGTCAGTTTTTCTCTCGGGGGCTCTTGGGGCCACCCGCAGAGGTAGGGCTGTATCCCTGGAGAACTTGGCAGCCCCAGGAAGCCCCAGGAGGGTGGCAGGGAGCCAGGCACATGGGGCAGCCTCTGGATGCGAGTCCTCATCGCTTGTCCTCGTGGGATGGGGAACAGAGAGGTCTCACGGGAGTGGAAGCAAGGGCCAGGGGTCCAGCTAGTGCATGGCCCCTAGGAGGGCAGCTGCACAGGCCCTTGTATCACCCAACCCCCAACCAGTCAACCTGTCTGGTGTGCTTGTCTCTGGACCATCACAGAGGGAAGGAGGGAGATAATTCAAGTTAAGAGCCAAGACTACAAATTCAGGCAGAGGCGAGCGGAAACCCAGGCTTGCCCACTTCCGAGCTGTGTGATAGCTTCGTCATCCGTCGTGTGGGGATAACTGTGGGTCCATAGGGCTGCGGTGAGGACTGGGGTAACGCGTGCGTGTCCAGGGTTTTCCCAGGGTCCCATCAAGTAACCTGCCGTTAGGAGGATTGGGGCAAGCCGTCCAGGCTCTCGTGGAGGCAGGAGCACGGCCTCCCCCACACCACAGCCACCCACCTCCTGCCAGTGCCCCTCGTGCAGACTGCGTAGCCCCTGTCCCCGACATCCCGTCCCACTTCCCTGCGGCACGCTCTCTGGCTGTGCCCTATCTAAACTACTCCTCATCCCCTTATCCCTCTTGTCCACCTCCCCCTCGAAAAGATAGCTCCTCCAGGGTAGGGAGCCTCGTCTGTTTTGTTCAATGTCACATAGCCCAGCACCCTGAATAGTGTCTGGCACTGCAGTATGAATGAAGGAACAAGTGAATGCATGCATGAGGTGCTTTTCACCTCCTTGGCTTAGCCGCCTTCAGGGCCTCCTCTCATGGCTTTGCCTGACAGCAGGGGTGCCTCAGCCTCACCCTGCCTGTTGCCTCCTGCACTTGCTCACCGTGTTCCCACATCATCTCCCAGCCTCTAGCCCAGGGTTCCTCCAACCTCCCCCCGCCCTCCTCCATTCTCCACCTCTCCAAAGCCTGCTTTCCTTCATGCCTTCCCTCTTCCAGGAGGTCAAGCCCTCAGCAACCTCTGCTTCTTTTGGGGTGCACCCCATGCCCGTGTGGCATTCCCCCAGCATCGCATGTGCACTGCTTAACCCCAGTGGCTCTGATTGCTCTGAGAACCAGGCTTTACCGCATTCTGGGCTCTGGGCTCCACGTCTTACACCTGCCATCTCACGCCATGCACGGTAGGACACTGGGGCTCCGAGGATGAGCAGCTTGCCAAGGCCAGCAAGAAGCAGTGGGACCAGGATTTGAACCTAGGACTGTGTGACTCCAGAGCTCAGCTTCTTAACCACCAACCACGGCTCTGAGCATTATGGGAGAAAGCCAGGCTACATGCGCACAAGCCCCCACACCGAGCACCCACCTATGTGCTGCGCTCTGACTTCTAGGTCTCAACTCCTGAGTCACTTGTAAGCCCTGGGCCCCACTGGGCTGAGGCAAGCGAGGCATTGTGCCTCGGAGCAAAAGGAAGGGGGCGCCCAAAACCTCAGGAATCAAGATATGGAATATGTTAATGCGGTATTTTAAAAGATCAAAATTAATACAAAAAGTCCATTTGGAATATAATTCCACAAATTTTTAAAAGACAGGCTCAATATTGCTGATTTTCACTTTTGCCTCAGGCTCCAACATGGCAAGACACAGCTCTGTACCCCCCCTGTCTCCTTTAAAATTCTCACATGTGTTCTTTGTGGACTTGTTGGTGTTAACTTTTATGTTTTTAAATAGTGCATTAAATATTGTTACCTATCTCGATTGCTGAGTTTCCTGGCGCACCTTACATTTTGCATGGAGGCGAGTGCCTCACTGGCCTCACCCTAGTCCAGACCCTGAGGAGCCTGACCCCAGGGGAGGCGCAACAGGAAACGCTGTGCCCTAAGTTTCCCGTGGGCATTTCTACCTCCAGGAGGGCGGCGGGGAAAACCTCTGCTGGATATGGCAGGTTCAACAAACAGTGGGCCCCCACCGCCTCCCCGCACCCCCAACTCCCCTCCCAGCTCGCCCGCTTCAGATGGGGAAATGGGGAGGAGGTTGAGCTGGACGGAGGCCGCCCACCCGCCTGGCCCTGGACCAGGCCAGTCCCCAGGGGAGCTGCCCTGCTCTGTTGGCAAACAGGCGCTATGGCTCCCAGGGGCGGCTCAGGACGCTGCCGCTGAAATGAGCTCCATTACATTTACAGTAGACCCACTCGGGTTTATGAGGCACAATTGTCAGGGTGCCTTCCGGCTCGGCTCCTTTATGGCAGCCCGGCTGCATTTCAGCCCCCAGCCCTCCCAGGTTCTCTGATTTACCGCTCCCATCAAGTCCTGGAGGTGCCATCCCGTCTGCTCTCCTTGCCATGGAGACGTCTTCCCTGGGCTCAGGGAACTGAGGGGCACACAGCAGAAAGCAACGCTTCCCAACCCATCCCGTTCTCGTTCTGCGCCTGCTACCCACCAGGAAGCGTGGCCGTGCTCTTCCCCACCCGTCCTTGCACAGTATTCTGGCCCCTTCCCCATGCGGCATCTGGCCTGGCGCCCCCACGCCCCCCTCGCGCAGCCTCCTCTGACCCCTGCTCATGTGGGCACGTCCAGGCCGGCGCTGCCTGTGTGCTGGTGCCTGTGAGGTGTGGGGGCAGCCAGCTGGGGCAGCTCCAGGACGCTGGGTAGACGGCAGGAAGCCAGGGACCTAGGGTGTCTCGGCACAAGCTTGCTGTGACGCCCTGGGCACCAGCTCCACCCAGGCCCCTGGAAGTTAGGGGGCGTTGATCTGCTGGGGTCCCGTCCAACTCTGACATCCCATAAATCTGTGACCTGGAGTATTTTGGTGTGCTTATAAAACTGTGATGTCATGGAGGGCAGACCTCACAGCCTCTTCTGCTCCCAGAGGAGATTCTAGACAGGTGTGGACCGCCTGACTCATACCAGGGACAGTCTGTGAGGCACCAGAAAATCGGGGTGATCCTGCAATTAACACTGGAGGCAGGGAGGAGTGGCCAGCGGCCAAGCCCCCCGGAAGGGGCAAGGCTGAGATCAGGGCCCCTGCCCCAAGCCGCTGTGTCTTCTCACACTGAACAGTCCAGTGCTGCCTCTTCCCCTGCTTGGACCACCAGAAAGAATCCCACCAACTGCAGAGTGGCAGGTGTTTTAAAACAATTTGGTCCAAGCTGATAAAATCAGATTTTACCTGCGGTGGCACGTTCCTTGATTCCAGCTTTTGCTGACACTACAGGGAGGCCCTGGAAGGAGGGAGGGAGAGAGGGAGGGAGTGTGTGAGTGTGTGTGTGTGTGTGTGTGTGTGTCTGAAATACAGTCTGGAGAGACTGAGGACCAGAGAACGTATTGCCCACTGTGGAGGGAAGTCAGTCATATTTTATTGCAGAGAACGTGTCCTTGGAGGAGTAATGACTTGGGTCAGGCTCAGCTCCGTCATGGGGGGTCTGGGGAGCCTGAGCAAGGGTGTGGCCTCCTAGGGCCTCATTTCCTCCTCTGCAAACCAGACCCCACAGTCCCTGTGCCCCCGGCTGCGGGGAGCCACTTCGCGCAGCGCTCCTCCGGAAGGGGCCGCGGGCACCCTCCTGCTGACTCCAGAGCTGGGTCTGTGGTCGCGCTGGAGCCTCACCGCTCTGCCCTTCTTTCCTTAGATCCCTCTTGTGCAAGTGACGACTGAGCAAGACAATGAACGAGGTGAAAGAGTCCCTTCGAAGCATCGAGCAGAGGTACAGGCTCTTCCAGCAGCAGCAATTCACCTTCATCGCCGCCCTAGAGCACTGCAGGGAGGCCGCCCACGACAAGATCCGGCCCATCACCAGCATCGAGCAGGTGGCACCACCGGGCAGGCAGGTGGGGCGGGCGGGCAGGATCTCGGGGACCTGCCAGACCCACAGATGCCCGGGCAGCATCAGGCCCTGCCCCTTGCTTGAAAGATAAAAAAACAAAACAGGCCCAGAGAGGGAAAGCACGTTTCTGCCAGAATCAGGATTCGGATCCTAACTGGTGGAAAGAGCCATCCATTTATTCTCTCAGCACATGTGGGAGTGAATGACCAAGTGGTTAAAAACGTGGGCTCAAGACTCAGCCGGCCAGGGCTGACGTCCCAGCTCTTCCCAAGCCACCTCTGCCCTTGGGCCAGTGACTCGCCTCTCTAAGCCTCAGTTTCCTCATTTGTCAAATGAGAAGAGCAGCACACGCCTCCCCAGGGCTGTTGTGCGGATTAAAAGAGGTCATCCGCGGAACACACGCAGCCAGTGTCTGGCGGTCTGTCTGTGCAGGCCCCGGGCTGAGTACTGGCGATGGACCGAGGGACAGACGCATATGGCCCCAGCCATCGATCCCACTGGGGTTTGAGAAACTCAGCATGCCAAGCACACTGATGTTTGCATTTAACCGGTGTCTCCTCAGGATTAGCTAGCTGCTGTGTAAATTTGCTCTGCAGGAAGCCAGAGGCCTCAGCACCCAACTGGCCTTCCAGGAAGTAATGGGCTTGAGCCTCAGTTTGTTAGGAACACACGCACAGGCCCCCGCTCCACCCCTGGCCATGAAGAACAGCACCCCTTCCTGGCAGCACCCTTCTAAAAACTTTTTTCTAATTTTTGTAAAAATTTCTCCCAGTTTTTTAACTTGAAAGTTTCTAAACATACAGAAAACGAACACACATAATCTTCGCCTAGCTACACCAATTTTAATAAGTGGCCAGGTTTGCACACTCTTTCCAGACACACACCCTCTTTCCCCCGAACTATTTTAAAGTAAATTGGCCGTGGCCTTTTCAGCCCATCCCCCAAAGGCTCAGACATCCAAGGGCACTGGACACGCTTTCAGTATCAGGAAGGAGCACCTGACACTGCCATTGTGCTTAGGAAACATGGGCGCTGAGTGAGCCCTGCTCCTCCCAGCACAGGTGTGTGGCCCTGTACCCTGAGGCTCAGCAAAAGCGCTTGGTAAACAGCCCACATTCTGTCTCTCCATGTGAAGTGTTTTTTTTGTTTGTTTTTTTTTTTTAGCTGAGCCATCCTGCTACCTATTGGCAGCTTAGCGGCTGCTCAGCTCGGGCTGGCCTCGAACCGCTGTTGCTCAGAGCTCAAACTCTTGAGCGAGCTCTTAACCAACTGAGCCATTCGGCCGGCCCTCCATGTGAAGTGTTGATTCTCAAGCCTCACCCTGCCCTCCCTGGACCGGATGCGTCCAAGGTTACCTGCCCACAAGCCAGGTCGCCCAGTGACGCCGCTCTGTTGTAGTTACCCTGCAGTGCAGGCACCGGGGCAGGGTGCGTGGTGGGCGGGCGTGCACGGTGGGTGTGAAGCCTCTTCCCCCAGCAAAGCTACTGTACTTCGGAAGTAACCACTTTGGATCGCTTGGGAAGACATCCCCTGGCAACACAAAGGCAACCGGTGGCAGCAGGGAAACCTTAGAACTCTATGGGTGCTGGAGGGGGTCGTGATGCCGCTTCCAGCAGATCATGGGGGTAAGAGAACCATCTGACTGGGAAGTACGTTGGGAATCCCGCCTGGGCCCGAGCCAGGTCCTCCCAGCACAAGGTCAGCCCCCCGACCTTGGCCGAGCTCAGACCCAGAGGCACTGGGTGGCGCTGACCTGGGAAGGACCCCACTACTCCCAAAGGAAAGGAGCTGGCAGTAGATCAGCACCTTGTTTAAGAAAGGTTTCCCGGGCCGGCCGAGTGGTGCGTTGGTTAAAAGCTGGCTTGGGACGCCAGTGGGCCCCCGTTTGGATCCCACATATGAGGGCCAGCGACACTGCCCCCCACAGCTAAGATGCTGAACAACAGCTCAACCTGGAGCTGGGCTGCCATGAGTTGCCGGCGGCGTAGGCTGCAGCCCCTGTGGCAGTGGGTTGCCA